ATGAGGGGAAGAGGAGGGGCAGGTACCAATCATAGAATCAGATGAAGAGATCAGTGCCTGCCCCTCCTCTTCTCCCCACAAGGGGACAGGATCCTCAGGGAAGTGGTCACAGCACCAAGCCTGTCTGAGTTCAAGAAGCGTTAACACAATGCTCTCAGGCACATAGTGTGATTCTTGAGGTGTTCTGTGCAGGGCCAGGAGTTGGACTCCATGTTCCTGATGTCTCCCTTCCAATTCAGCACATTCCATGATTCTATGACTAGAAGCATAAACTTTTCAATGCTAAGAAGGACTCTTTTCTGGGTGATGCCTCTGTCACCCAGAGCATGGCATGAGCTTTTCCTAATACTGTCAACTGAGCAAAAACCCTATATATGTATCACCTGGGCTGATTGTAACAGATTTTGGGTTGTGTTCTAACAGAATTTTGTGTAGGATAATAAGTTTGTATCAACCTGAAATTTCAAATAGTTTTTAAGTTTAAAAGAGATTAATTCTTTGAGTATCTTTTCTCCTTATAAAGCTTTGGTCGATAATACACGTGTCTTTATTTTGAAACAGAGTAGATAGTGATCTGTGGTGTGCCTCCTACTAGTAAATTTGCAAACCTTCCCTTGCCAAGCAATCCTTGCTGACATGCTCTAATACTATTTAAAACCTTATGAGTTTCCAAAGGGTGTGGTGAGGTTCTTGAATAAATATTATTGAGGCATTTTGCTCCACGTCTGCAGAAAGCAAAGGTGTGGTGAAATTGGCACAGTTCATCATACTGCAGTATTACTTCGACATGCTTCAGCTTAGACACTGTAATTAATAAAGGTAGTGTTTGTCCTGAGAAATTCTGCTCTGTTAAGAAGCGCAACACTTCTGAGAAATATCTGATCTCTATATCTGAAGAGAGATAGTTTATCTGTTAATGAATGGGCATGCTGTTTTCACATGTGCAAGGGTGCAGTTTTCCTTTGAATGATTCAGGTGGTGAGCATTTTAAAAGTATTCCAGGTAGCAGTTGACATCAAAAGTGGGAAGAGTGGCCTGAATTTCTCAATCATGAGGCACAGTGCTGTATTATGACTAATGACGTATATGTGGCTTGTATGCATTTTAGCTGAAACTTGTCATTTTTCGAAGAAACTTCTCAAAGGGTGTAACTGTACGTCAGCTGCGCAACTACTGAATCAGAAAGCTGATCCCTGCTTCCTGTTTCAGTGCAATAGTGCAAGCTGTGCCAAGTTATAGGATGAAGAATGTGAGTATCAAGTCGATGTATCTTCAAAACACATTTCTAAACAGGAGCCTTGTCCTGATGTGCAAGAACACGGTATAGAGGAAGGACTCTCTTTTAAGAAACCCATTGAAACATTTGCTCTTTGATTCATACAGCTTGTCTGCAAATATCCTTGCTCAGTGAAATGACCAGGATTTTCCCAAGGCAGATTTTTGTATTTTTAGGAATCTTTATCAGGAGAATTT